GAGAGAGGAGAGGAGAGATGAGATAGAAGGGAAGAGAGAGGAGAGGAGAGGAGAGGAGAGAGGACGGAGGATAGAAGAGTGAGGCGAGGAGAGAACAGAGAGCTGAGAGGAGAGAAGAGAGGGGAGAGCGAGGAGGGAAAGGAGAGAAGAGAGAGGAGAGGAGAGATGAGAGAGAGGAGGCAGAGGAGAGGAGAGACAGGAGAGGAGAGAGGATGACCCCGGACCAAAGTTTCCTGACTGGTGTCGCGCGCGGGGTGTTATCATCTTTTCGATGTACGTGTCACGTGTCTGCATTCGGGTCTGCGGATCCTACCAGGTTGTTGTCACGTCCAACCAGGGGTCACAGAAGTCTGGGTTCCCTTGTGCGTGGGGCGTTCGCGCAGTTTAGCAAAAAACAGAATGAGATCAGCACCATCTTGAACAGCATTGTATTCTTCAAGCTGTAGCTGTTTGCATATTCTTCACGTGTAAAATTGACTGTTTTAGGCGTGCTGCAGGCGCATCCCCGTCACCTTGCAGTGGCCTATTTGGGCGGGTGCGAGTTTCCCGCCGGCCCACCCGCCCCTGTGATAGGGAGCTTTGGCTACAATGGGCGTTGGCTTGCTAGTTGTGGGCCGATGTGCCCAAAAAGTCGTAAATTGGTCAATGGCCGAGGTGCCAGTTGCCTCCGGGTCTAGCTTGAATTTCTTATCAAGCGTTAGCTTGCAACAAGGGGTGTGGGGGGGCCCCTGGTGCGTCAAAAGTCCGGGTTTAACCGGACAGAAGGGCAGGGATGGTTTCGGGCATGATGCGGTGGGGTTGCTTTCCGACCGGGATAGAACACGGAAAGAACAGCATATCCGACCCTTGCCGCACTGTGCTGTTTTCATTGCCGTCTCCAAAGCGCAAGGGATAATCCTCCACCTCTTCCTCACAGGCCAAGAGGCAAAACTGACAATGTTTCGCAAGCAAAAATGCCGTTCCTGGGAACAACACCACTGCTTGGCATGGAAGCATTGTCCCAGAGCAATGCGGGGCAACCCGCATGTAGCGCCTAAGATCCAGAAAGCTTCTCAGCCGCTCGGTAAGCAAACAATCAAGCACCGCATGATACTTGACACCAACCACTTGCTTCAGCAATTGTCAGTTGGGTCGAGCGCCAAGCAGGTGAAACCATTGCAAAGTACCAGAAGACCAGAGGTACACCACACAGGGCGCGACCCACATGAATGTCTTTTCGCGACTCATCGGGGACAAGCACTGCACAAGCAGGGTCAAATGCCATGTCGCCAGCATACAACTCGTGCTCCGCTGCAGTACGCTTGAAGAACCGTTACTCCTGCTGGAACGTTTCGTTATGAATCAGCGCACAGCTGACCACAAAGTTCGAAGGGTCACGACTCAAGTACAGCTTCGCGCTTAGCTTTTCAAGTGCGTCGCGCACACGCCCAAGGTCCTCCGCAAGAGTTGGCTTTTGAGGCACGGCCCAAACTTTCGTCGCGACAAGCTTCAAGTCCTGTGGCCTGCAACAACTACCCCGCAAGGCGGCAGCATCAACATCGCTTTTGCAAACAGAAGGTGTTTCCAAGCGGCCGCAGCTTTGGCAAACAACCCGTCATCAGACCGTCATCAGTCGCAGCTGGCTCCATGGTCAAAACAACAGGCCGTTGTATGAAACCACAAAGTCATGAGGCTTCCACACCAAGTAAAAAGGAAGACATATTTGACACCTGAATTCACAACGCATACTTTTTGAGTGCCACACATTTTGGTGTCAATCACGAGTTTGTTCCCCCCATAGCCTTCCTCATTTTCAGTAGTGAAAAAGGAGTGAGTGCGCATCTACATTCTGCCAGTTTTGGTCCCAGTCCATCTCCCCCAAGTTATGACATGGAAGCCGCAGGACTAGATTTGTTGCATTTTGTCGCCAAACCTCCTGTCGCATCGCTCCTGTAGTTCTTCTCCATTTCATGCTAGCTTCTTTTTGTGATCATTTCCTAGCCAGCTTTGCCCTTCTGTGCGTTCATCTACGTCGCATGCAGGAAAGGCTTGGCATGTGTAGCCGAATTTTTTGAGTTCTCAGGTAAGCCTATGATGTACTATGACTCTTAGTAGGTCAGACATAGCATGGCCGCTGTTGCTTCATCATCACTTCTATCAATCCCACGGTGGAACAGACTGTAGACCCTCAATTCAAGGCTATCAGATTCCTCATCCCAGTGCCTGATTTCCCAAACCCAAAAAGCAAAGACTAAGGAAGACACAGCCCATGCTTTAGTGGGAGGTGTTTGTCGCGTGCTTTTGCTGCTTTTGTTGTTCACACCCCCTTGCCGCTTCCCTTTCGTTGCATGCGCCTCCAGTGGTACAGTGAATATGAGTCTTGCTGAGACGTTTGCTTTCCTTGTTCGCAACTACAGCTGCAAGGCATACCTGAATGTTGCCAGCCGCCTTTCCAACATCGCGCAGACCCTCGAATCTAGAGAGGCTGCAGCGGATGATGCCAATGCCATCTTGGCTGGCTTGTAATAGCTGCACGCGCTCTCCTTAGTTTGTGAGAATGGGAAAGCAGCAGCTTGTGGCAGCTTGTGTGACTTTGCATCATGTTGGCCTGCCTTCTGTGATGGAAGCTGCATTGACCAGCTAGAGTCGACTAGAGTCTAGAGTCTAGAGTGACAACTTACATAGGCTTTACGTGCAGCCCAGGCTCTGCAAACTTTTCTCGTGCAAGTTCTGTACTGAATCGCAAGACCCCCACAGGGCCGCTCTTCGCTGTACCCAGTAAAGCAGTTTCTGTTTCATAAGCAAAGCTGCGCAAGGAGTTTCTGCGCAACCCATGTGCATTGGATTATATTGGATTGTCGCAGGTTGCCCACGTCTTGTAGCAAATTGTCCCCAAAAGCGGCTATGCCGCAGTTGACTTTCATGCTCCTTGAGCTGAGGCAATCAACTGAAGTGATGTGACGTGCAGAGCTCTAAGGCTGTGCAAGTGCCCAAAGGGGCAGCCACTCAAGCGGCTGCTATGCTCACTTGGGCGTCATGCAGCAACAGCTGCCATTAGGTTGAATGGCGTGAAAAGCAGCGCCGTCACAATGTCTGTGCCTTCAAACAAGCTAGGCTGCGAAACCAGCAGTGTGTTATGTTCACAATGAGAAGATAGTCATTCAATAGCGCAGTCGCTTGCAAGCAGAACTGCTTTGCATACGGAGGGAGGCTCGCATGATCTTTGTGGCTCACTTATCGCGGACTACGTCACGGACCAGTCGACGCCAGTATCAAAATCAGCGCAAGCCATGCTTGGAACTGGGCTGTCGGCTGTTTCATTCAAAGCTTTTCAGGAAGCTTGACATCAGGCAACAGCCGTCAACCTCGCACATTGCCAGGCAGCCGTTTGAATCATTTTAAGAGCCAACACAGACGCTAGGGCTTCTAGTTGAGGCATCCTGCATTTCTCCTGGGGTTTCTGGACACAAATCGTTGGTAAATTGCATAGACGTGACGGCTTGCGCTTCCAGCAGCCTGCTGCGAATGATGTTCATGCTCACCAGGGTCCTGCAACGCCCCGTGCGGTTCTGAGTTGACCAAGTTGAGAGTACAACATGCAACCCAGTTTGTGGCTTGTGTGGCTATGGCTGAGGCAACTCTGGGGGGTTCAGGCAGTATCGCGAAGCAATCATTGAGCTGATCAAAGCTCAGGAGTGTTTGTGATAGCTAGGGTGTTGCGCATGACACACACCTGCGATTAAAATACCGTCCTACCTTTTGCAGCTTTCTTGAGAGCCTAGCAGGCTGCTGATGCGCGCGCCTACACAAGATTGGTCGTTTCATGCGGTCGCACCAGACAATGGCAGAATGCGATCCAAGTGTTGCAGACTGTCTTTAATGGCGGCCCGGCTGTCTTCTGGCTGGTACTTCGGGGGAAGTTCAAGCACAGACATGAAATGGGCACGGCGCAGCCAAGGTCGGCTGCAGGCTCCAGCCCTTCCTGTCCACAGCGCAGTTTTAAGCACTTGCGAACGGGCTGCGTTTTGGCACCATGCCATCCAGCACTTCACTTCTTTGCAGAGGCATCGCCCAGAAGTGCTGCAAAGGTTGGGTGCGTACTTAGCAGTTGACAGCTTGCGGCAGGTTGCGTGAGCTGCAGCTTGATGTGATTATCTTCAGCGCCGCAATATCCGCCTGCGAGAAGGGATCTTTGTGGTTGTCGGCTCTGGCTTTACTGACCTTGATGTTGAAGCAGCATCTCCTGCCGAACCAGGCTCCTTAGAATCTTATTGACTTATTGACTTATTGATTTGCAGGTCTCAGTTATGCGATGCGGAATCTCATGTGTGTGTGAGGTGACTTATGGTGCAGTTGCTGCTGCGTGTGAGAAGGCAGCCCGCTGGAGAGCTGCCACTGCTGTTCTACAGCATGCCAAGCAAGCCGAACAAGCAGGCACTTGCGCAGCTTGCATATGTCTGTCCTGAAGATTTTCAGAGGGACTTCTGCAATTCGTCCATCCGCACAGCAGCTGTGAGTAAAAGCCAGGCTGGACCGCAATTTAAGTTCATCCACTATGTTGACTGAGATCTTTTGGGGCGGGTCTCACTGAGATCAAGATTGTAGCCGGAAGCTTTAACAGAGGTCATTCATGTTCATGGTTGTATGTCTTGTCAGTTACACCGCGTGGAGCACCAACTGTGTTGTTATGCATGGCGACGGCGCAAGAATAATTTGCGAATTGTAGCAAACTTCTGCGTGTCCGGGGTCTATCCGGATTTCCTGAAATTTTGTCTGATTCAACTTGTTTGTCCCGGCCCCTTTACTGGCACATTCTCTATACGCACCTAGAATCACCTAGAGAAGCGGAGAGCAATCAGGATCCAAAGTGAATCATGTCAGGACTCATTATCCGCAGCTCTGTCCTGAGTGCCTGCGAGAAGACCACGGCCTGGCCCGCGGCCACTCTTTTAACGCAGTCAATAGCTTCTGCAAGCATACAGTTGGAGTCTTGGCCTGGATTTCCATGGAGTGTTAGGAACTTGAGGCGTGTGCTCTTCAAGACCTCCGCCCAATTGAGGACATCATCGCCTGCAGCGCTGAATTATCATGTTGCGAGAAGGCTGGGCGGTGGAGCGATGCTTTGGAGAACCTGTCCAGGCACATGATGCCCGGGATGTCGATGGATCTGCAGTGTTGCTCGACATGTGGCTTATCAGCACGGCCTGAGGCTTTGCATTCTTGGCATTTCTCCCAACATCGTGACGCTGAATGCTTCGGTCAGTGCCTGCGAGCGCAATGGCCAGTGGGAGCGAGCCTTGGTGAAGCTCGCCCTCTTGCGCAGGCAGGCGCAAACACAGCTTTTTAGCACTTGGAAAGGCCATGAAGTCGAAAGACTTCGACCTTTACAAGCATCCAGCCTCACAATTGCCTGACAAGGTCTGCATGCATTGACTCACGCAAGGATTCGGGAGCGTGCTGCTCATATGTCGTCAATTGTCGTCGTGGCAGCGTGGGAAGTTTCTTTGCTCTTGTAATTGTAACATCAGCTCGGAATGTAGCGGAATCGCTTGCTGTCGGTAATTCTCAGCTTGATCCACAATCCAAGACATGCTCAGAGGCAGCAAAAGACTCGACTGGAAGCTGAGCGTGACACCGCAACAAACTCGACTGGGAAGCAAGTGTGACAATGACTTCCCATGGCCCGAACTCCGCAATGGCTGAAGTGTTGAGCCTTTCGTAGACGCAACTCCCAAGTACCCTTTCCGCCAGGCTGCTTCAGCCAGATGTTGTGAGCTACAGTGCTGCTACGGCATCATGTGGTTCAAGTGGCAAGTGGGGCACAGCCCTCCTGCTGTGGAGCTTGTTGGAATCGGGCGGGGCGCGTCCGAACACCGTCACCTGCAATTCGTTGATTAGTGTGCCTTGCCATTCAATTGATTAAGCAGCTGGTTTGGGGTAATTCCTGGAAATGATGATCTTGGCAGCTGGTAGGCTAAGAGCATCTCCCAATGTGAGGCATGCGAGGAGTCCGGACAATGGGAATTCGCTTTGGACATATTTGGGGCCGGCAGTATGCTGAAGGAAGCGGCTACTGTCATCAGCATCAATTCTGGCATTAGTGCTTGCGCACGAGGCCTTGGGAACACAAGAGTGCCAAGGACGTTGGTAACTGAAACTCGAAACCAAGCTTAGCATTTCACTGCATTTCGATTTGGAGGTGCCCTTTGGGATCGCGCTCTACACCTCCTGGAGCAGCATTTTTTGCAGCCCACCCGATCTACGCTGCAGCCCACGCTGGTGAGTTTTGTGCTTGGTTCAGAATCACACTCGTTTTTGCAACATTTGTGCTACGCGCGCCATGTCAAATCATGGTGTCCAAGGCTTCAACTCAGCTCTGAGCGCTTGTGCCAGCTGCCAGCGATGGCGAGAAGTTCTCGGCATTCTGCGCAGCCTGCGAAGGCTTGTTCGGGCATATTTTGGCTGGAAGCATGATTCTGGTGTGTTGACTTTTTGTGTTTGCCACTCCTGTGATGATGGCGACATATGGCGACTCTTGCTGTCAATTTCTCGGTCTGTTGAGTGCGAGGCGTGGCTTGCTGCCAGATGCAATTTCTCTCAACGCTGCAGCCGGTGCACTGGAGCATCAGGGATGCTGGGCCTGCGGCCGAGTGGAAGCTTACAATCAAGCGAGCAGCTGTTCCTATCACGTCGCATGCTTCTGCTGTAGTGCAGCCCTAGATGTTGCAACGGGCACTGAGGTTAGTGCATCTGCGCTTTTGGCAGAAGCGCAGGACCAGGCCGATCGGCTTTTGGGCCCAGAGGCCTGGGCCTAGGCATTTATGAGGGTGTGGGCTTGTAAGAATTTGGAAGCCGCAGACTGGCTGCGCATCAAATAAAATCAAACAAGTATGTTTTCAAATGACCTTTCTTCCTCCAATTTATCCTCTGTACCTTCCTCGCCTCCTGGTTTCAATCTTCCTCAAATCATACTACCGGTCTTCCTCAACATCATCCTCTTTGTAATCTTCCCTGTTTTTCATCTTCCTCAACTCATGCTCCCTTCTTTCGTTGCTCAGATCACCCTCCATAGTCCCGGGTCCTCATTTTCCTCAACATCTTCCTCAACATCTTCCACTGAGTCTGACATCTGCATGAAGTCCAGAGCCTAGAGACTGTAAAGCAGAAACGCCATCAAAGGCGCTGCCACCGCCACTGCCGCCGCCACCATCATCACCGCTGCCACCACCACCAACGCCCCACCGCAGCCACGACCGTCCACTGCCGCATTGCCCTTGCTGCTAGCACAGCCACCGCCACCGCCACCGCAGCTACCGCCGCCACAGCACTGCTACCACAGACCGCCACTACACCGCTACATGTAATGTTATTGTTCGTATTTTTCTTACACTTAATGCTTCTTACCACTGCCACAATGACGTTGGCGTTCGGGCGAAGCTACAAGCAACAGCTTCTCGAACCAAATGAGACGGTCCCTCGATTTTCTGGCAGAGGATAACTTGGAAGATGATTTTCAGGCAAGGGTTTCAGGGAGTAATTTCGCCTGAAGCCGTGAAGCTAATGGCTTCGCCGGAGCCGCGGAGCTTTCCCCGGAATTTTGAAGACTAGTGGCTTTGCTCGAAGCTCTGATGGCTTCAAAGCTTCACCGGAATTCTAAAGCTATTCTAGTACCGGAGTCCTGAAGCTAGTGAGCTCGTGGCTTGGGAGCTTCGCTCTTCAAAGGCAAAGCTCCTCTGAAGCAGCCCTACACAAGCAGAAAATGTTCCTCCAAGTCATCATCCCGATCACCAAGAATCATTTTCAGAATCGTCCTTCTGCAAAGAGGTCTCCACAACAGCCTACATGAATGCCTGTGCTAGGGGTCCAGCCCGGAGTATTATTGTTACTCCCCATAAAAGCTGGTAGGGGGTGGAGTTAGTAGCCAAGTCTTGGCCCAAGCGTGCACCTTAGCTTTTTGAAGCGCTGAGCGGATGGGTCTGGTGTGGGTTTTCTGTTGAAGATTGAGGGTTTGGGGAGTAGGGCGTTTTTTCTTCTTTTTCTTTTTTTCTTCCAGTTTGTTTTTGGACCCTGGCCTCTGGGAGGGAAGGAAGGCAGGAACCGAGGAGGACAACGAGCGAGAAGGCGAAGGAGTGACAAACCAGAGCCACCCCAATAACGAAGAACAAACCGAAAGCTTGCGAAGCCCGAAGGACCAAACCCCCGCCAAGAATGCTTTGTCCACAGCCTCAATACGAACAATATGGGTTGTAATGAAGAAGCGGCGGGCGTGCAAGATTCAAGTTCGCTGCCAGGTTGTCACCGTCAGCACGGCTGTGGACGCATCCGAGAGGCAAGATTCCACATAGCCGAAGAGTTTGACATACAACGTGGCCAGATTGCACCGCCTGGTTTCATGAAGCTCCAGGCACAGGCGCGCATCTCGTGTCGCGGGCTTGCTTTGCCAAGTGGGTCATGCTGTACCAAACAACTTGAGAGCAGCTTGGCAGTGAGCGAAAAAATGATGCTGCGTGGGTCGTCATCGGCTTTTGGCTGATCTAAGGCTTTGAAGGTATGAAGTGCTGAGCGCTCTGGCTCGTCAGGGATCACAAAGCTGCAGCTGATTTAGAAATGTAATCTCTTTTGCGTGCCTATGCATCAGGGTAGTATTGCAGCAGGCATTCCTGCACAGATTGCCAGGAATATGGAAACAGGGAAGAACCCACAGGCGCAGTAATAGGTCAGAAACGTATTTCACTTAAGTTCTCGAGAGTAGTGTAGCTGTGAAGGTTGCATAGTTGCAGGCACATCAGACGCACGCCGCCTAAGCACATAAGCTAAGCTTGTCGCAGCACGTTATGACGCAGCCCGACTCAAACATGATCCAAGCGTTGTCTTCTTGATGTATCTCCTCAAGGACGTGTCGGGCCTCCACCAGGCCAAACACGATGCTTGAGGCGAAGCTGACGAAGAGCCTCAATAGAATCAATGGATGCAAGTTTCTACCATTGTGCATCTTGTTGCGTGCTGTGCACGCGCGGACGCTGCCAGCAAAGAACGAGCTTGCAAACGCGCGCCTTGGTCAGGTTTGGCAGGCTCTCGAAGTAGTTTCAGCTTATTTGTGACATGTGTGTTTACAAATGCTGCTCCATCAAGGTGCTACTTCACGTATCGAGTCGGATATGTCATTTGTGACGTCAGCTTGGGACCGGATGAAGCCCAAAAAGAGATGGAGGCAAGCATGCCTGTGGGAATCATCGCAGCGCACCATGTGCTCTTGTCATCGCTCTGGATCACCACCAGGCTGGTCGATGCAACGAAGATTTTCGACTGATGGGCTCTGATTTCCAGCGGCTGGTCACGAGCCACTACCTGGAAGGCTGTGGCGCAACATTTCTCGAAGCCTTGCATCCTCGTGTTTCGATCCACCCCACTGGGTTCAGGAGGGCGGCCTCCGCTTGAAGAGGCCATGTGGCTGCTGACGTCGCCGGATCACTTCCAGAGCCGGACGCTGGCAGAATGCCCACCGATGCAGATCTTGGCACCTTGTGCAGAGCGGATGTTCCTTCATGCCTTCTCACTGTGTCATCTTGCTGTTGTGGGAAGCGGGGTTAACAAAAGTTAGGCATCTCAAGAAACAGGGATCAAACAACGACATAGTGGATTTTGCTTTTCTCAAAAGTTGAAGCGCCTCGAGCAATAAGGACCAACAAAAGAACATCGAATTCTTTGGTAAAACTCAGCAAAATACGAGATTTGGTAGAAAAACTCAACAAAACACAGAATTTTGTAGTTGACACTCAGCCAAAAAATTTTGCAGTAAGACTCAATAGATGTAGCGCTCCAAACCAGAGGAAGACAGAAGGAACAAAGAAAGATACAAACACATAAGCAAATCAACAACGAAGAAACAAAAGATAGACACGTGATTTTCAATATTTTTCCTCACTTGCCTCTTCATTTACTCATGGTTTTCATGCATAGCTGAGTCATTTTCATCATGTTCTCATGATGCTAATCATGTTCATGCTTTTCAACATTTTCATAAGCCTTCATTCTTTATCATTCTCATTATTTGATCTCCCCTTCAAGTCGAGGGGTGATGCCGTCAGCTGAAGGCAGTGCCCCACACGCCAGGAGATACTAATGGAGTTTGTGCAGCCACGAGCGCATTAGCCGAAATTGCTTTTGCCCTTAGTCCTGCTGTCGGTGTTGTGCGTGTGTTCGTGTTTGGTCGACCACCCCTCCCCCATGTGCCTTCTTTGAGCCAGTGCCCCCAGCTTACGTAGTACCTTGGTGAGGGATCATCGAGGGAAGAGCTGTTGTTCCTGCGAAGTGGGCTGTCTTGCCAAGTGCCCGATTCCAACCCAGGCCGACGAGCTTGGGGGGCGGGCCCATGGAGGTTCAGGTCGCGCAACCTGCCCCGCAATACCCTTGCCGGGATCGATGGCCCGGCGTTGAACTCTGTGCCGGAGCCTGATGACGCACGTGGAAGGGCAAGGTTCAAAGAAGGCGAGAGGGACCGTTTCCGTGGGCCGGAGGGCACCCCAGGTTGACACTCACTCACTCACTCTCATTATTTTCATCATGTTCATTTTCCCTTGCATCATGAATGACATCACATACCACCCCGCTGTTATTTTACAAAACACATTCGTGCCATGATTTGTCACCATGTTCCGTTATCTCACCATGATTGTTCATCAATTTCCTGTTCTTTATCTATCATTTTCATTTTCACATTTTTCATAAGTGTCGCATTCTTCGTCATGCTTCATCTGTTTAATTTTGATCATTTTACAAAAGCCATCACTGTGTCTCATGATGTTTCATGACTTTCATGGTCTTTATGACTACTATTCTTCATTATTTTATCATTATTTTATCATATGTTTCATTACTTGTTCATTCTTTTTCAAGTTCATTCTGCTTCATTATTCTCATGCTTTTGCAGTTTCATGATATTCATAATTAGTCATCATTTTCATGATGTTTCATCCTCTTCATAATTCTCACATTTCGTCATCACATTGTTTTACATCTTTTATTGTTTCACATTTTTCATCATGTTTTATCATGTTTCATCATGAACAAAGATGAGTTTTGACCATGGATGGTAGTGCTTTTTTCTCATCAGTTTCAGTGTTTATGAGTTTCCATTATTTTTCAGAAAGCCCAATTTCAGTAGAAAATCATTGAACATATCGAAAAAATCCCCGTTGTAGCTGAAAAATAGGCCCCCGCGCCGACACATTCTCTAATTTTTCATCTTTCATGATTTTCCATCGTGTTCACTATAATTCATTGCTTTCATGATTTTGAGTTTCATGACTTCCCAGCATGTTTCATCATTGTCCAGTACTTGTTTTAATGATGTATTCATTGGCAGTCATGACTTTTCATCAGCTTTCATGATTCGCACAGTTTGATGATTTTTCAGCATTTTCATGATTTTCTTTATGTTGTATTATGTTGTGTCATGTTTCATCCTCTCTCATGCCTTTTGTTAATTCCCCACCTCCTTTGTCGGGTTCTGATTTTCATATGCTATTGCCCGCTGCCGGCAGATACTCTTCCGCCCGTCAAGCATTTCAGGCGCGCCTCCGCGGCCCACGTCCCGCGGCCCGTGGCCCGCGTCCCGCGGCCT